TCAGAGAGAAAAATTCTAGCAATCTTTAAAAGTTTCTTAGACAATTTAAATTGAGGTTATGTGCATATCACAACACAGAATATTTTAGACCTGAAAATGAGGTAATCCTGACACTCCTTGATCTGTTGCTTTTCCTTGTGTTTGCTTCCACAGGCTGACAGGTGACAACTGGGCAAAGTACCTTGGGATAGTCCCTTGAAAATCATTAGCTACTTGTAGAGTGGTTATCATGAAGTACCTCGAGCCATCAGGACTTTGGAAATATCTTTAAAGGATATAGCATAACAGATGGATGTGTATGTTTTGTTTCTTTTATTTAGTCCAGTCTCTGAAGTAAATTCTTGATTGTTATTAGACTCACATTTTTTTCATGATATTTTACTCATATTCCACAGTTAAACAGGCAAGAAATTTGTACTGAACAGTTGTGAAAAGATCTGAGCAAAGAAGAATGTCCCAGTCTCTTCTATCTTTAGTTCTTCTCTTTTGACTATAAACATGCTTAGGTTTCTCTTATTCCAGAAAGCTTTTTTTTGTTACATGTGGAAGTTCTTCCTCCTTTGGACGCTCTGCTTTTGCCTTTAACACCACTATTCCTTATTTCTGTCATCTGCCTACCTGACTATCTTGCCCCCTGATTTATAGAAGACTTTGGTTTTCCCATTATCTTAATTGATATTAAGATCTAAAATGCTTCCAAAAACCTTGTCCCACAGCTTCCAGGAATCCCCATAATTAAAAACCTAGGAGTCCAGTGGCTGTTTTAAAAAGGACAACAAATACAACATTTCACATCAGATGAAACAGAATTAACAGATCAGACAAAGCAAGAATTACAAATCATCAAAATAAACATCCTCAAAATAATAAATTAAGATAATAACGGAAAGAAAAAGCAAGTTGCTTGATAAAAATCAAAATGGAGATAATAGGCATGGAAAGTACAAGGTTAAAGACAATGGAAAACATTTATAAAATTTTGAAAATTTAAAAATAATGGTTTAAAGAACTAGTTTTAAAGAATGACAAAGGTTAAAGAATGAGAATCAAACTTTTCAACAACACTGAGAGCAAGAAGACAATGGGATGATATTTGAAGTATTAAACGTAAGGAACTTTGAACCTAGACATTTATAGCCAACAAAGTATCCTATAAATGTGTGGGTGAAATAGAACTTTTCTTAGGCATAAAATCTCAGAAGTTTTACAGCAAAAAGATCTTTGAAAAACGGTCTTTCAGGAAGTACTCTAGTCAGAAGATAAATAAAACCATGAAATTAATACAAAATCTAAAAATGAGTGAATAAGAG